CGGTTTCTTCCTCTGCAACTTCTGCACTGTTCATGGGAGAATATTCCTAGTCTTGAAGAGTGCCTGCCAAATAGCCAATGATCGGTTACACAAGCCGTATTCTCTCTTGAGAGGTTGAGCAACTCTGCCATCCTTTTGTTGTATCAATTTATGGCCATAATAGCCTGGTTTTTCTACAATTGCCCTCCTCTAGCCTCTTAACCCTTTCGGGACCGTAAGCCTACAATTAAAAATATACACGAAATGGGAACTTTCTCTTATATTGAAGTCGGTAAAAAAATCTAATTTTTCCTAAAGAAAAGTTAAGGGGGAAATTATTTTTTACAATTCAATTTGGAAAGTTTTTTCAGATTTTGGTAAAATTATTTTTTTTCTAAAAAAAAGATTTCTTTTTGTTATTTTATCACTTATAACAATTATAATTATTATTTTTTTTAAATTATTGTTGCTCTTCCATAATAATAATAATAATTAACGGTATATTTTTTCCTAGTTTTATTTACTAAAAATTGGATTTTTCTAAAAATTATTATTTTTTTCTTAAATTTTTATTGTAACAATTTTTTCTTTTTAAAATTATTTTTTACAATTCAATTTGAATAATTTTTTGCTGCTATTGGTAAAAATATTTTTTACTAAAAAGATTTCTTCCTAAGAAATGTTTTCTAAAAAGTACCTTTTTTCAAATTTTTTCTTTTACTAATTTTTTTTTCTTAAGTGTATATTATTTTAAGTTTTTTTTTTATAATTTGTGGGAGATTTTTCTAGTTTGAGTAAAATATTTATTTCTAAAATTTTATGCTCAAAATAGCTAAATAATAATGAGGGCATTATAAAAATCAGAAAGCTTTAAAATGATTCACACTGTTTTCTTATGAGTGAAAAAGATTTTTGGGAAGCATGTTTCCCTTTGTCCTGAAAGGGTTAAAATCCCTTCTAATCCCTAATTAGCAGGTTGCCATGTGTATTCCAATTTCCTATCTGCTTTCACAAATGGGGAGATTGTTTTTTTGGGGGTCCTTAAGTAAGCATAAAAACATTATTATTTGGACCTTAATCAATAGTTTCAGGTAACTTGCCTTTTAAGTTCACGGCCACCAATCAGTTATAGTACCATTGCTTTATGCTCCTCAAATTGTACATAAGTCAGGTTTGGTTGAAGTGGACGAGCGAGGCCCAGTGGTATCGTTTAAGCAGATCCAAAATGCCATGTTAATAGAATACGTGGATTCATAAATGCCTGCTGCCAGCCAGCTGATCAGCCGGACAGTCAAAGTGGTGACAGGGCTACGAGCGTCTTATCGCACCCGACATGGTAGGCCAGTGACAGTATCATAATAGCTACGGCAGTTGCCAATGGCCAGCTGCCACATGCTGCTAAGTAGTATGCCTTTTCATCAAGCAGTGACCGATTATAATTTCGGTCAATTGCTTAAATAGACGATGTTCTATACTAATGACTGAGTCGGAACTTTTTTGTCGTGCCGAAACTGGCCAAGATTTGTAAACGAGAGTCGGACAAGGTATATGCATGTCCTCCTCGACATCCATTTTTTTTATGGGGTGATTTTTGTGCGGGAGATTTTAAGCCGGGGGAATAAGTCCGACCACCTTAACTTGCCACTAATTCAGCGCACACAATCAAACTACGCTAACTCATATGCGCCTCTATTTATTGAGTCTTATATGGTGGACAGACAGAGAAAATTAATTTGAATTGATAAGCATAAATGCAAATTAAAATTTTACCCTTACAGGCGGCAGTAATGCGAATAAACCAGCCGCAAGGTCGTGGGTTCGAGTCCCACGGCCAGTATACTTTTTTTATTTCTTTTTCATTCTTTTTTCTATAAGTTCTATATTTTTTTAACGTTACTTTCAGTTAGTTGTTGTTGAATGTTTAACAAAATTCATCTCTAAAAATTAAAATTAACTAATGTAAAATAAGAAATGTGATATAAAATAAAGCAAATGAAAATAAAATAAAGTAAAATTAAATATATAAATAAAATAAAATAAAAAAATATAAAATAAATAATAACAACAAAAAAATTTTCGCAATCGCTCCAACCGAGTATCGAACCTGGCAGCTACAGGCTTGTAGCTCGCAACTCTCACCACTCGGCTACCGCGTACGCGAAACTCGACTGCTTCGTTTGCTTACTTGTACAAAATCGAAAATTCCTCGGATCCGAGTTAATTCCCAAATATTTCGTGCATTTATTCGGCTGCTTATGCTCATTTTAAAGAGGAAAATGCATGAGTTAAAGCAAATTAAGGCTGGTTATGCAAATAATCGAGCCCGTTTGTCTACCGTATTAAGTCCATAGCTTAATATGTAGCTTGACATAATAAAATAAATAAAGGCGCATCTGTGTTAGCATATTCTGCCTGATAGTGTTAAGTTAGTTCAAAGTTAAAATAGTTCATCAAGTTAATATAGCCTCTCGCACGGCGTGGTAGATGGAATATTTATATTCACGGCTATCAACCAGATGAGATACATAAATGGCACAGGGCCATCGCAAAGTTCATCAAAAATTCCGAGCTAGAGCTGCAAATATATCGATGTCAGTATCGATATATCGAGTAATTGGATTTTTTTTTTTTCGATATCGAGTATGGCATAGCCATTTTTTTTTATAGAAATTCTTATTAAAAAGTTCGCAATTTTTAAGACAATTTTTTGATTTTTTTTTCTAATTTTTGTTACAGATTGAGCTATCTATATATATAAAAATGAAATGTTTTCCGTATGACGGCGATGCCTGACCAAACGGCTGAACCGATTTAAATTCTGTAAAAAGCACCTCTTTGGACCTTCTGTGTGGAAGGTTCTTTGATTTAAAAAAATTTGAATTTTTTTGAACGATTTCACTATTTCCTAGAGTTTTCCGTATATTGAATGTCACTAAACTACTAAACGGCTGGACCGATTTCGTTCATATTTGGAACATATGTCAGCACCTTGACCTTGAGGGAAATATTTCTTGACCTTGAGGGAATTATGTCTACTAAAAATTTTATTGCTAGGTGGCGCTGGGGTCGGGATATTCATAAAAATTGCATTTACTTGCCGATTTGGCTCATATTTAGAATATATCTTTGTTAGCCAATTGAAAATGCATATTGGGACTGAAAATGTACACGATAGGTGGCATTGTGGATGATATATTCCTAAAATTCTTATACACTACTATATATATAGTAAAAGGGGGCGTGGCACACCCCATAGGCGCGGAATATTTTATCAGCACTAACTTCGGAACCATAAGTCTGAAATTGAAATTTAGTATGCAGACGTATCTACGGTAGGTGCTTATACAAATGAGTTTTTGGGGCGTGGCACATTCCACAGGCGTGAAATATGATGAAATTTGGTATGAATTCATATCCATGGAAGGTGCTTATAGCTAAGTTTGTTTACATGAGTTTTTAAAAGGGAACGTGGGGCATAGGCATGGAATTTTTAATCAGCCATAAATTGGGAACCATAATTCACATGAACTTGAAATTTGGTATGCAGACATACATATATATGGGAGTTGTTTAGAGTAAAGTATATATAAAGGAGTTTTTAAAAGGGGCATACATAAGTATTCATCAATTATGTATATCACTCGGATAATATTTAAATCTGTGTCTTACAGTCTTTAGACCATTTCAAAATGGAAAGATTAAATCGTTTTTATTTTGATCCCGCGATGCTGTTAAACGAAAAATGTTCATTCATAATGAATAAATCTCCTTCCGAAATAAGTATTCTACCGGAAAAGTGGCGCTATTCTAAAACAGCTAAGCGAATAGGCAGATAAACGGAATGTATAGTTTGTCTCCTTTAATTTATGCTAAATTGAATATTTTTTACTAAATACTGTTTTATATATTGATTTGATTACCCCGAACGACGTCGGGTGCTCTGCTAGTACTTTTATAAAAAAGTAATGAAAAAAAAAAATATATGTAGAATGAAAAAACATTGCGAATACTGTAATAATATCACTGTGTGATTTTGAGTGTGGGTCACTGTTCCTACATACATATGTACCTCATACATATGTGTATGTATAACAAAATTTTCTGTGTTAAATTGTTCTATGCATTCTTTGAATGAGTAGATGTTATTTCAGTGTTTCATTGTATAATTAAAAATTAACGATATATATCGATATCGATGCCGCCAGGTACAGATTTTCAGAAAAAAGTTAGTTGAGTTAGTTGTCTTCAATAAATTATTGCATACGCCATTTGAGAATTGTATGTATGCTGCACTGTATAAATAAACGACATCATAAGAAATACGGAATTAGAAATTGTGTGAGCTTTTAATTTTGCATGCTTCTAGCCACGCTGTTAGCTAATTGAGCAACAAAGCTTAGCAACAAAGTAACTACTTTTTGTTAATAATAATATTCTCAAAAAAAAAAAAAATGAATGAAGCGCCGATATTTATGCTCATCAATATAACCTCTTCTAAGTAATGCCCGCACTTGTTCCTATTTATTGTAGATGACAACTTTTCTTAAAAGCTATCTGTAAGGTCCGGGCTACACAACCTTTTCTTGATAATCAAAATAAATTTAGAAGTTGTACATATGTTAACGAATGTACTGTCAGTGTCAAAAGTAAGCATACACCTTGTTCTAATATAATATTTACAATTATTTTCATTAATATTTTTTTTCTTTTCTTTTATACTTAAATTTAATTTAATTATCTTAAATTTTTTTAGAAATTCTGAATACAAAGTTTATAGTTTTTATTATAATTTTTTGATTTTTTTTTTGAATTTTCGCGAAGTTTACATATATAAAGTCTGAAATTTCGACATACACATATTTATGTTTTATGTTATAGAATGAACTTTATTTTAATAAAAAATGAATGAAAAAATTTTTTCATGAAAAAAGTGAATATTATATTAACACAAATTATATACTAACTTTTGACACTAAGGGTAATAGTTGTTAATTGTTAAATTTTTTCTTCTCTATTTTCAGAACCCTCCCAGTCTGAAGCAACTTCGAGCCTGCGTGAAAAGTTAAAGATTTCACCCCACTAAGTTTTCCCAACTACTCAAGTCAACTAAATTTTGTTTTATACAAATAACCATAATTTTCCATAAATAAATATGCGCTAAGTGTTTCAAACCAAATTTGTATGCGTCGTCGTAAGTGAAGTCATAAAACGGAATCAAAGTTTCAGCATGTAAAAATAAGTGAAACAAAGTAAGGGAAGAAACGAAACGAGTTGAATAAGTAAGAAACTTTATTGTGATTTCATAAATAATAACTTAGCGCGCGCGAAGAACAAAAATAAATAAAAGCCAAAAAGGGGGAGGAAATCGTAAAAAAACGAAGAAGAAGAAGAAGAAACGAAAAGTAAACAAATTGTTATATAAGAAACGAAAAATAAAACAACAACTACAACTAATAAATAAAATGTTACACGAACCACAAGTCAAACGAAAAATGTCGAAAGGGAGCTGCCACAATGCCAACAGCGGCTTCACAGCCGTCGCAGCGACGCAAGTCTTCCTCGTACTGTCGCTGTTCGTGATTGGGAATCTAAGTGCCTGGCAGGAGAATGTGCGGCCGAAACTTTATGTGGAATTAGGTAAGTGGGAAAAGAAAACGAAAAACATTGGGAAGGGGGGAGGAAATAAGGAAACGTTTGAGTGTATGTTTATAACTTGATTGCGTAAGTAATAAGAGGGGGGGGGGGGGGGGGGGGTGGGTAGGCAAGTGTGCTCCAACTACCAAAACAGTCGACTTACACATGTCGCTTGCCATGTGCGTTTGCCTAAACTCTAGCCCATATTTGGCGGCCACACCTTCTTTAGCACACCAGCCGTTTGTTGTGAATTTTTGTTTTTTGTTTTCTTCTTTTCTCTGGTTGGCAATTAGCGTTGTACTTCCGCGCTTGCGTTGTCAGTATTAGCGCGTGTCAAGTGTGTCGGCGGTCCTTTTTTATGTATATACATATAAGTGTGTCTGTGTCACATCCGACTACATGCCACATTGCGCTGTGGCGACAATCACGCACATTGCCTTCCACTGCGGCTTGTGCCAATTTATGAAATATGTGAAAATTAAATCGTAAATAAAATACATAATGAGCAGCAACAAAAATGCAATAAACAGTTACGGTTATGTTGCTATGCCGCCTAAAAGCGCTACGCTGTTGTCATATTTTCGCAAACAACGTTGTCGCATCGCCGCGCCGCGCCGCGCCACTTCATGGCCGTAACATGTATTTTTAGCAGCAAGGCCATAACGAACGCGAAAATACTGCGGTAGTCGCATTTAATTGCGTGCAATGTACGCGCGCACGTACGCGTTTGTTTGTTGTCGTTAATGCACATTTATGTTGTCATCGACAATGGCGACATACAACAGAGCAGCGACCAAAAGCCAGTTAAGAGCAACACAAGCGGCGCGGCGGCAGTGACAGTGACAAGGAGAGCAAAGGCGCGCAAGACAAAGTTACACGCGCGCACACTCAGATTGTAGTCGATGGTGAATCTGCAATGCAATAAAATGCAATTCCACCACAAGCAGCAAAGCGTTGTTGTAAGTTGCACACCGCGTTGCACGGCCGCCGCCGCCACCAGTGCTTCATTTATGCATTCACTTGGACGGCCACACATTTTAGTCAACCAGCCACACTCACAGTCGTGGTCTGTTGCTTTGCTCATCGCTCTGCATGTCAGCCTATTTATGCATTTGTGCTTGCTCGTCGCTTTTACAGAAATGGAAACCGCAGGCGACTCACGCACTGTCGCCCTTTATGGGCCTATTACCGGTACCGAGTTTTATATATCTACATACATAGATAGATAGGTCGTTGAGGTGCATCGAGAGTACGCGCGCACGCTACGTTGCCATTGTCAATCGCTTGGTCTTAATTAAGTTCAGCGGAAATGCGCATAATTTGAAGTCGATGATCGTTAAGATGTAGATACGTACGCACATACCTACTTGTATTTATATAAGTCCTGGTTTTTGCTGCTGTCACACGTTTGTTGCCATATACGGCAAACGTCCATATTTCGATCATTATTTACTTACTTACATACATTGTTGTGCGCGCCGCAGCAGCGGACATGCAGCCAATCAACCAATGTCGCATGTCCGGTTACATTGCATCAAATCGCCTTTGGCTTTCGCTCCTCTTTATCTATCCATCCATTTTTGGCTGTCATATAAATTTTTTTTTTTGGCCGCGTTCGCACTGGCAGTATTCTGAAGCTGTTGCATGCTACATACATACATTGCGTAAATAACGTGCAATTTTTGAGGCAGAAAACTGCTTGAAGTGGCCCACAGTCAATGGAAGCGCGCGACTTTGGTGGTCGGGATAGCTAGCTGAATGTTTCGCCTTTTTCGCATGTGCAGGTTTTTGAGCAGGAAATGTTTGTGGTTAATTCATCTGTCAAGCATTGCTCGTTTCATGACGTTCCATTTCCTTCTTAACATTTTGAAGTTGGTTGGTGGTAATTGGCACTGCCAATTAGTTGTTGAAGTAGTGCAAATATGAGAAAAGCTGTCATATCGATCAGTCTTTTCATTGTGAAAAACTATAGGATCTCTAATGGGTCCGCCTTTTTACCATTTGTAACTCGGAGTCCGCAAGCTGGGCATGGTAGTACTGCGCTCATTAAAGATTTCGCTACTAGAGCTTCTTTTTAAAGCCATTCTAGTGTTTGAAGTTCTTTACTCGTCAAAATCTTGCTCAGACCTCTCCAGCTGCTCGTCTATTCCATCTCAAACGCATGATGCTTCCATGTCCTGAATTCGTCTTCATTATGGTATTTGTACTCGCCTTAGTCTTTGTCTTCGCATTCTTCTTCGGTTTCGTACTCCTCTTCGTGTTCCTCTTCGTCTTTGTGTTTTTCTTACGCGAAATAATATAATACAACTATTGTCACTTTGTGTTGGAAATGCATAAGTACAGTAGGACTAAAGTGGTTTCTTTAAAATGCCGCATTTGTTATCTCTTAATTGCTTTACTTTCGGTAGGCATTTAAGTGAAACTCCAAAGACTACATTCCATCCATACCGAAACATAAGACGTATCTACAAAAAAAAAGTATTCGACTGTATCGAATGGACTCATTGAATTCAGATATCCGTGCAACTGAAGGCCGATGCTAGAAAGCTTACTAATCCAGCGCCACTTAGTTTCTGAATACACCATCCAGCAGAATTTACGCTGATATCTGCCGACGTCTGTCTTGTCTCAAGCTACTCCCGCGGATCGGATCAATACGTTAATCACCTTCTTTGAACTACGTATAGCTATTACCAATTGGAATTGAGGAACGGATTCACTAGACATTACCCAGTCTAGATGCATATTTATGTAAAACCTCTAACCTACTATGGAACAGTCCATCAATCGTTGCCATTTGTCTGGCTTTTGAATAAGCCCCCTTACGAAAGTGCCTTTTGGAGATTACCTTTGATTGGATTGACGCTAAAACCTTAATATCGGCAACTACAAACAAAACGTCGAATATAATATTGATACTAAACTGGTTTAGGTGAAAATCTAACTCGCCGTGCGTTCATTTCAACCTGTTTTTGATATTTGGAAGTAGAGCGTTTGTCCATCTTCCCTATCATGATTGTTTTATTTTTTCGGATCATCTTTCAATACTTCACTTTGCCGCTGAACTGTAGCTCTTTTCTCAGTTAATATAGTCGAATCGGTGTTGCATCTGCCATTACAGTTGCTGCGTTGGCTGAGTTTACACGACCTCGTATAACCTGCGGTAGGATTCGATTTCTGTCGATTTAATGCAGTCTGATGCGGCGCCTGGGCTCGTGTGGTTGTATACAGTACATGCTTTTCTAAAGGAACCTGGGTTTTTACAAGTGCTTGTTACCCATCCCTTCAGGTTATCCTACAGGTTTTCACAAGCATATGTTCTTCCAACGAAGTGGTAATTCAGTACTTTTACATACTTTTGATTATTCATAGTGATCCACCTATATACGTCCACCAGTTCATGTTCATTCTCAATTCCATATTACACATATTTCCAATCTGTCGACCTCTTGGGCCAACTCAGTCCTCCTTGTGATCTGATAGAGAATGATGGGATCCAAATTACCGCATGTATTTCTGGGAAACTGTGTACCGGTATTCTATAATAATATACGAGGTGGGTATTAGCGAGAAGTTCTTAGCGTAATTCTGTTAGTCTTTTAGCAATAAGTTTTCTAAAAATAAAAAAAGGTATATATTTTTTTTTTAATATTAATAATAATAATATTAACAACTAAAAATTAAATGGAAATTAAATCAAAATATAGTAAATAAGCAATTAAAAATTACGTTAAATAAAAAAAAAAACATATATCCTTTTAAAACAATAAAGTCTAAAAATTAAAAGGAAATTGAATTAAAAATTAATATAACTTTCTTTTTAAAATAACAAAAATTTCAGAAGAAAATAAAAATATACAATGAAATAAATTTTAATAAAAAAAAAAAATAAGTGCCTAAAAATTAAATGAAATAAGAAAACGTTTTTCTTTTTAAAACAATTAGATTTAAAAATGAACAAAATTAAATAAAAAATGAAGAGTAGTTAAATTGAAAACATAAAAATAAATTGCTAACAATCAAATCAAAAATATATATTTTTCTCTTTAAAATAATAAAAGTTTTAAACTAAATCAAAATTAAATAAAATAAAGAATATAAGTTTCTAAAAATTATTCGAATTAAAAAAAAAAATATTTTTCTCTAAAAAAAATGGAATCTAATATTAAAAAATAAAAATAAATTTCAAAAGAGAATATAAATAAATAAAAATAAATTACATAAAAAAGGAAAAAAACTACAAACAAAACAAGAAGAAAAGAAGAAATAAGTTTATAAAAATTTATTGAAATGAAAAAAAAAAAACTATATTTTTAACAATAAAATCAATAAAATAACAACGAAATAAAAAAATAAAAAAATTAACGACAAAATAAAAGAAAAAATAAAAAAATAAAAGAAAAAAATAAACCAATAAAGAAATACATATGATAAAAAAATAAAATAAACTACATTTGCTAAAATTAAATTAAATGAAAAATATGTACATATATTACCTGTTTAAAACAATAAATAGAAAAATTTAGCGGATGAAAAAAACTACAAAACAAAAAAAGAATATATAAGTTTCTAAAAATGAAATGAAAAAACTATTTTTTTTAACAATAAAATCTAAAACTAACATAACAAAAGAAAAGAAAAAATAAGAAAGATAACAAAAAAAATAAAAAATAAAAAATTAAGGAAAAAAAAACAATAAATAAATACATATAATAAAAATAAATAAATCCATTTCTATAAATTAAATTAAATCAAAATTATGTTTATATATTAAAATGAAATAGAAACATTTAGAGAATATTAAGTGTTATAAAAACGTTGTTAAAAAAGGAAAAAAACCAATGCCCGAGGATTCGAACCTCAGCTCTCTAGAATGAGGCGCCACTGCTTTGCTTTCTCGGTGGCGCAAGCAAAATGATTCTTCATTTGGAACATGCTCATGTGCTTATTTTGTCCACTGAGCTTTTCACCATGACAGTTGGCAAGGGAGATTTTTTTGTAAG